TACAAAAAATGATTAGTTAAACCCACAAGACCCCAGGCCCTCGGGCAGTGCCCGAGTTTTCAAATGGTCAGTCCACTCCTGCCAGAGGGTTGCATCCAGGGGTGATCATGTGCCCATAACTGCTGGTAAACACTCAAGGAGAAACCCTTCCCCCCCATGGGCAGCTGCTGTCAGCCTGTCATTGCTATGTACAGGCTGAGGGGCCACAGCTAACCATCCACATGTGACTCCAGGAATATGCTGGATTCTGGCACTACAATCCCGTGTGAATGAGTCCTAACTCTTCTAATAATTTTACCTCATTTCTTCTTTTCTTTGCTTTTCCTTTATTTTCTTATTTTGTTTGAAGTATTATATAAACAGAATCTGAAAAAAGAAAAAAAAGTCAATAACATCCAAATATTCCCCACATCCAGACTGGCCTGAGGTCTTCCTAACATACTGAGCTGTGTAACAAATACATCAAGAAATACACTGTTTTATTATGTTCAGTGTAATATTTCCTAAATTTAAGTCAGGAAACTGAATGTAGAATCCCATTGGGTGGTATGTGGAGCGGAGGAGCACACAGCATGGCCGCCGTGTTCTGTTTGTCCTGTGAGCACGAGGAAATCTACCATTATTACCGATGCACTGAACAGTATAGATTTCATTTCAAATGTAAGTGCAGCGCTAAAGCATAAGCGACAAATGCAGTCATAAAGAGCTTATGTGAATAGAAGTGTTCATACAAACACTTTATTTATTTGATACAATAAATCAAATAAAATGTCTCAGATCACATAAAATCATAAAAAAACTCTAAAATTCTGAATATAAATAGTGGATAGTCCGTGGCACTGCAGGTCACAGAAGTGCCAAGTGATATACAGTTGCAAGAAAAAGTATGTGAACCCCTTGGGATTACGTGGAGTTTTGCATGAATTGGGCATAAAATGTGCTCTGAAAGTCATCTAAGTCACAACAATAGAAGAACACAGTCTGCTGAACATAATACTACACAAACATTAGATGTTGCCATGGTTTAATTGCACATAACATGTAAACATTCACAGTGCAGGGAGGAAAAAGTATGTGAGGCCCTAGCTTAATGACTTCTCCCAGAACTAATTGGAGCCAGGAGTGAGCCAACCTTGACTCCAATCAGTGTGATGATATTGGATGTGTTGCTGACAGCTGTCCTGCCCTTAAAAAACACACACCTGTTTTGGGTTTACTGGTTTCAAGAAGCACTGTCTGATGTGAACCACGCCTCGCAGAAAAGAGCTCTCAGAAGACCTACGATCAAGAATTGTTGACTTGCATGAAGCTGGAAAGGGTTACAAAAGTATCTCCAAAAGCCTTGATGTTCATGTGTCCACGGTAAGACAGACTGTCTACAAATGGAGAAAGTTTAGCACTGTTGCTACTCTCCCTAGGCGTGGTCGTCCTGTAAAAATGACTGCAAGAGCACAGCGCAGAATGCTGCATGAGGTAAAGAAGAATCCCAGAGTGTCAGCTAAAGACCTACAGAAATCTCTGGCACATGCTAACATTTTTGTTAACACATCTACAATGAGGAAAACATTCAACAAGAATGGAGTACATGGGAGGACACCACGGAGGAAGCCATTGCTGTCCAAAAAGAATATTGCAGCACGTTTGAAGTTTGCAAAAGAGCACCTGGATGTTCCACAGCACTACTGGCAGAATATACTGTGGACAGATGAAACCAAGATTGAGTTGTTTGGGAAGAACACATAACACTATGTGTGGAGAAAAAAAGGCACAGCACACCAACATCAAAACCTCATCCCTACTGTGAAACATGGCGGAGGGAGCATCATGGTTTGGGGCTGCTTTGCTGCCTCAGGGCCTGGACGGATTGTTGTCATTGATGGGAAAATGAATTCCAGAGTTTATCAAGACATTTTGCAGGAAAACGTACGACCATCTGTCCGCCAACTGAAGCTCTACAGGATGGGTGATGCAACAGGACAATGACCCAAAGCATACAAGTAATTCAACAAAACAATGGCTGCAACAGCACAGAATACGCCTTCTGGAGTGGCCCAGTCAGAGTCCTGACCTCAACCCGATTGAAATGCTGTGGCATGACCTTAAGAGAGTGATTTACACCAGACATCCCAAGAATATTGCTACACTGAAACAGTTTTGCGAAGAGGAGTGGTCCAAAATGACTCCAGATCGTTGTGCAGGTCTGATCTGCAACTACAGGAAACGTTTGGTTGAGGTTATTGCTGCCAAAGGAGGGTCAACCAGTTATTAAGTCCAAAGGTTCACATACTTTTTCCCTCCTGCACTGTGAATGTTTACATGTTATGTGCAATTAAACCATGGCAACATCTAATGTTTGTGTAGTATTATGTTCAGCAGACTGTGTTCTTCTGTTGTTGTGACTTAGATGAACGTTCAGAGCTCATTTTATGCCCAATTCATGCAAAACTCCACGTAATCCCAAGGGGTTCACATACTTTTTCTTGCAACTGTATGTGTGCTTATTTAGCAATAATGGTGATTATACATAGTCTGTGGCACTACAGGTCATAGCAATGTTCATGGAACTACAAGGTGCAGCAATACCAGCTGGGATGATCAAGAGTGCACATGATCCAACCTAGGAATCCACCACCTTATGTGGATGTGCACTCACCAGAATGCTACTTGTATAATAGCATCAATGCTGATCCTTATGGGGGGGTCTCAGGAATCCATAAATAGGGATCAGATTCTTCTCCAGGGTCAGGGCTATGCAAAATCAGCAAAGGATCCTCCTAGGGGGAGAAGCTCACCACAGGAGCCGAAGGTATGGCAATATAGTGTAGTATTTATTATAAATAGTTCAAAGCAATCCACATGGATACAGCAGAGTTAAATGCATAAAAGCCACGGCTGTGTGACATCAGCACATAAGGCTCCACCCAACGCGTTTCGTGCGCATGCAAGTCTTGCTGCGGTGTGACCTCTACGAATATACAGAGCCTGTAAGAATGGCAGGTGGGTTTTGATAAATACAAAAAAAACAGATAGGGGTCATGCAAGGATTACCTGTGGGCATCGTCTGGGCATAGCGGTATTTGTTTTGACCCTTGCCTTGGTGTGTATGGTGCTTCCTCCTTCATGAGAATGAGCGCCTCAGCACACAAAATGGCCGCTGGTATTCGTTATTGAAAAGGAAACACTGTAAACATATGGAGAAGTCTACCTGTGATATCACAGGGGGATTAAACCATTTACATTTCAGTATACTACAGGATTCACATTTTAGGAGATGACTTTGTTATTTTTTTGTCAGAGAAATGCACCCTCCTATAGACATTGGGTGACCGCCATATAACTATGTGATGTGTGAGCAGCAAACTTCAAAGATTTGGAGTGCCATGTCAGGCATACCTGTGGGTATTATTGGGCACATCATTATTTCTCTATCGCCCTGCCATGGTGTGTATGGTGCTTCCTCACACAGGAGGGGGAGCACCTTAGCGCAAAAAATGGCCGCCAGTGTTCTGTATTACAATGGAAATCTGTGAACATGGGGGAGGATCCCTAAGAAATTCAGGAAGTTACAGAGCTATTTATTAATAGTTCACCAAATAACTACTGCTATTGGCTGGTGCTACCCCCCCCCCCCCCCATTAGCGTAGATCACATGATCAATGCTGTGTGCAGACAAATACAAAAATACATAATCCTTAATGGTTATCTGTCCCTTTAAATCCTAAATACCATCACGAAAACCTGTGTGGTATACTTCCTGTGTATCATGATCCGAATGCACCAAAAAAAAGTGTCAACTGAATATAGACTCAATAGTGGTGGAGCGTCCCTTTAAATCGGCTGTACTGCAAGTGGACCAGTGTTGTCACACTACTACATAACGTGTACGGTGCTCCTGTGTCACCCCTTAGTGCTCCTCCACATCCAACACACTATTGCGCTCACCTCCAAGTTTGACCCATAATGACAGGTCAAACTGCGCTTTTCCCTTTAACCTGGGAGGGTGTAATGGTACACAGATCTTCCCACTCTTTGCCAGCACTTTTAAGAAGATCCAGATCGCTCCATATTATACAGTGTATTCTGCCAAGTGTATGTAGAAATCCGTCTTCCAAAATGGCGGCACGTGCACTTCTGGTTATCAGATTGCCGTCATCGGTGTACCCTACGCGTTACGTCACAGCGCGTGACTTCAACAGGACTCCTCCCGCCCTCTCCTCCTCCTCCGCCCTCTCCTCCTGTGTCTGCCCCGCCCACATAGTCTTGTGTCTTCTCTCCCCCCTTCTTCTTTCTTTTTTTTACTATGGAGACATGCTGTTTTGTATTTCTCTGCTGTGCATGTCCTTGATGACAGCAGAGACCTGTGTTTAACCACTTGCCTACCAGGCACTTATACCCCCTTCTTTACCAGGCCAATTTTCAGCTTTCAGCGCTGCCGCACTTTGATTGACAATTGCACGGTCATGCAACATTGTACCCATAGGAAATTTTGATCATTTTTTTCTCACAAATAGAGCTTTCTTTTGGTGGTATTTAATCGCCACTGGGTGCTTTACTTTTTGCGCTATAAATAAAAAAAGTGCAAAAAATTTGAAAAAAAAAAAAAGTTTATTTGTTTCTTTTATAAAATTTTTCAAACAGGTATTTTTTCTCCTTCACTGATGTGCGTTGATGAGGCAGCAGTGATGGGCACTGATAGGCGGCACTGATGGCCACTGATAGGCAGCACTAAAGGGCACTGATAGGCAGTACTAATGATAGGTGGCATGGATAGGCGGCACTGATAGACAGCACTAATTAGGGGTCACAGATAGACGGCACTAATATGCAGCACTGATAGGCGGCACTGATAGGTGACACTGATGATGGGTACTGATAGACGGCACTGACTGGCATCACTGCTGGGCACTGACTGGCACAACCCCTGGGCACTGACTGGTGGCACTGACTGGCAGCACTGCTGAGCTGCACTGGTGGGTGGCACTGGTGGGCAGCACTGGTGGGTGGGCACAGGTGGGTGGCACTGGTGGGCACAGGTGGGTGGGCACAGGTGGGTGGCACTGCTGGGCACATGTAGGTGGCACTTCTGGGCACAGGTAGGTGGCACTGCAGAGTGGCACAGGTGGGTGCACTGCTGGGCACAGGTGGGTGCACTGATGGGCACGGGTGGGCGGAGCTAGTGGGTGCACTGCTGGGCGGAACTTGCAGGTGGCACTGCGGGGCACCGATCATCAGGGCACTGATCATCATGCCCTGATGATCGGTGCCGATCCCCGCTCTGACAACTGCCGGTTCTCGGCAGTACTTTCCTCACGATCTGACAGCGTGAGGAAAGTGCAGCCGAGAACCGGCACTTGCATTTCCCTCTGATCAGCGTGTCGTTGGATACCGCTGATCACGTGGTAAAAGGCCGCTGTGATTGGCCTTTTACCACATCACGTGATCAGCTGTGTCCGTAGGACACAGCGATCATGGAGATCGCCGGGTGCGCGCCCCAGCGCGTTCTGGGAGGACGTCATATGACGTCCACCCAGAACTGGCCGGCCGCAGTGAAGCCGTCATTCGGCTATCTGCGGTCGGCAGCTGGTTAAACAACCCTGTCAGCTTTCCCCAACAATCGCTGGATGCTGGCGGGGAATGTCTGTATCCGTAGCCATCAATGGCGGGGTGGGTAGGGTGACACACGCTCGCCCCCTACCAGGAAATGCAAATCATTTATACGTATATGTATGTGATTTTGTGCAGTACTTCTACTATAGGGCGGCGGGCAAGCAGTTAAAGATGGCCTCCTGCATTGTATGCTAATGAGAGAAGACTCAGACCATCTATGGGATGGACTAAACCTGGTCATACACTATTGGGGTCTCATTTACTCTACTGGTTGGAGGTAGGTAAAACCCTGCAGTTGAGCCATATTTTTACTGCCCCTCAACGGTTTCCCTTTAGCTGTAAAGGCAGTGGTTGCAGCCACAATCAATTGCTTTGTGGCCACAGCAGAAATTATAAGTACAACCCATTCAAGTGTAAGAACTTGCGCAGCAACCACATGCAATGTGCACACAATGACCTCAGCGCAGTTGAGTGTTGAAACAGGTGGTGAGGAAGGATATTTTATACCAGTGTGAATCACTTTTCAGAGGAGTGGAAGTTCTTGCCACCATGATAAACCAGCCATTAGGGACCATTTACACATGCACTTGGGGGGGGGTGCAGTAAAACCCTGCAGTTGAGCTGCTTTTTTACTGCCTCTCAACCACTCCCTCTTTAGCTGGGAAGGCAATGGCTGGGGATATACACATGCTGCGGCAGAAATTGTACCGCTATCACACTCGGTGGGCACTGACACCCGCTGAATGCGACCTTTTCAAATGAATAAGGCCACATTGTTACCGCCCAGGAGCCATGCACAACACATGCGTTGCAGCGCGGTATTTCGGAAGTTAGGGGATTAAAATAGACAGTAAGGAGGTGATATGGTGCCTTCTTCAAATACTCCCTGAAGAGGGATCTGGACACTGATTGCTCTTCAGAAAGCAAAGCTGGTATAGGAATAATCAGATGAAATCCTAACAGTAGATGGCTCTGCCAGGTTGACAAAAGGCAATTACTCAACAGATATCTGTTGCAGGAGTTGAGCCAAAAACTGTCAGCTGAACAGCAACTGCATCCAATCAGCAGCTGGCACTGTTCAGGTACTCTGGCAGCCGGAGCTAGCAGCTTTCATCATGTAATAGTCAGCAGGGGGGACTCCTCCCCACAATAGTAGCCAGACTGATTGCTGACCAAGCCATACACCTCCGAACAAAACCCCATCCCCAATACATTACAAAGACATCATGTAAACATTAGAGCACATCATGCTCATTACCTGGATGTCCTGATGATCCTGCGGATTTAATGCTCTCTGAGTCACTGACCTGGAACCAGTATGTAATCAGCAGTTCTGACATGCTTGTGCCCGCTCAATCAGCATTAAAGTCTGGTTAACACCTATGCAGGTTGCGTTTGACCCGTTGCTGCGTTGCATTTTGCGGGGGGGGGGGTTCCATTTTTTAATTTTTCTTGTTGCTAGGCAGAACTCATCAAAAACGCAGCAAAAACACACTAAATGCTTTTCTGCAGCATTTCTATTAAAGTCTATAGAACCAAAAAAAAAACGCAACTTTTTGCGTTCAAAAAAGTCCCTGACCCTTTCCAAAAAATGCAGTGGGTGACAACGCAGAGATGTGAACCTGTCCCATAGGAAATCATGTGAAATGGACTATATTACATAGCAAAACGCTGCGAAAAACGCTTAGGTGTGAAGCTAGGGTAAATCCTCTTTTGGAGGCCATCAATGGCCGCCTACATATATTATACAATACAGCATGGTTATAGAATCACTTATCCTCATCTTATTCTAACAAATGTGCCGGGAAGGAATATTAGGATATTACCTATAAGTATTTGTCATGACACAACAAAGCCTGTGTGCGAAGGCTCAGATGGACGCTGCCCATTCTGTCATTTCCACCCTATAGCAGATCTGGAACAAGAAAACGAAACCTGTCCACATTCACTACACGTATAATCACAGCCCCAGAGCTAGCATGGGATGGGAGAGTGGCTGCTTCCATCAGAGGCTTCTCCCATTGTTTTATCATTCGGTTCATTATAAGCCTCCAATCAATGGTGCAATCTCATTACATCCTGGAACAACAACAGCAGAGCCAGTAAAATGTGACGTTTGTCCTAATAAATCCAATCGGTGGTTCAATAAAGCTCTATGTGTGGATTCATATCTATGAGAAATCTGCCATGTCTGTAAATGGGGGCTTTCCCCTGTAAAAGAGATTCATCTATCTGCGCATTACCGTCTTCAAACCATCAATTGTACCCAGTGTTTCAGATTGTGGAAAAACAATAAGATGCAATAAAAATAATTCAACTCTGCAACGTATTTACAGAAGAATAAAGCAGAGTGTCAGTTGTATTTAGTACATTGCAGGCCGTCAGTGACAAGACAGATAAATATCAGCTGGGTGTGAAGGCTCTGCCGTACAATCCGCCGTACTTAAAGGGGACGTCCAGCACTACTCTAAAACTGCTCAGCAATTAAAAGATGGAGGCGCCATGTTTTTCCGGATCAGGTTTTCATGCTATCATTTACTATATCTGAGCCCACCATGCTAGTGTGTTGGTGGGCTGGCAGCTAAAACCCTTCACAACCAATCAGAATTCATCCTATGTCACTTTAAAGCAATTAGAATGAAAAATGGTTTTGGTTGACTGCTTTAGTTTTCATTAAAGAAAAAAGTGAAGTGGGGCTGATTTACTAGAAAGAGGAGACTTCTTAGAGGAAATATTTTCTGAGTTCAGGGTTAGGATAGCCAAGGTAAAGATGCATTGGCTTTTGCTTCATTTTCTTGGGTGTCTGCCAACGAGTGACCCAGCCAGATTTCAGTAGTGGCTAGACACATGATTATTAATCATATCCCTAGCCACCACAGGGATCTTACTAGCCGAGATGTACAACCAGCAAGGATCTGTTAGCAATAAAAGGGTTAATCATTACCAATAATCATTAACCTGGCCGTACATTCTTGGCAATGCCGGCCAGTAAGATCCCTTTGGTGGCTACAGTCCCCCAGCCATGATCTTTCCCCCCCAGAGATCGAGATCATGCGGAAAGAACCCAACTCCAGCATTAGCACATACCTCAGGTCTGCTCTTGAGTTGCTGCAGCCTCCTCTGCTATCTGGGGATCAGTTAAAGAGATTTCCACTCACTTCCTGTCTTCCCGACAATATTTTACATGGGAGGAAGTGCAGAAAAATAAGTAACACGCACAGGAATAAAAATACTTTTCTTTAAACCCTTCACGCCGATGTCACACAAATATGCGGCCTTACAGAACTGGGCTTTTTTTTCCGTGGGTCAGAATATTTGCATACCTGTCTTTGTGCTGGAGCGCGCCACACAGTTCGCTCCCAGCACAAAGATCGGGGTGTTACTGAGAACCCTGGTCCCGTTCTAACGATCGGGAACAGGGTCTCCCAATTCCAGGTCACATGATTGCTGTGATAGCCTCTGTAAAGCCCGGCCCCCTTGTTTTTTTTCTCCATGAATGGATAAATTGTATCTCTCTAACTCCTGGCATAGAGGTGTAAAATAAATGTTTGTTAAAAAATAAATAAATAAATAAAAGAAAGAAAAAAAGAAAGAAAGAAAGAAAACGAAAGAAAGAAAGAAAACAAAAGAAAGGAAGAAAACGAAAGAAGGAAGGAAGAAAGAAAGAAAAGAAAGAAAGAAAGAAAGAAAGAAAATGAAAGAAGGAATCAAGGAAGAAAGAAAGAAGGAAAAAGAAAGAAAGATTAAAAAAAGTAAAAGAAAGAATAAAATACATAGATCAAGGTTTTATCTAGTTCAGTGCCAGGGTTAGTGTTTGGGTCAAGGTCAAAGGTTAGGATTTTTTTTAATTGGTATTAGTTTCAGTTAGTGTCAGTGTGTTTTAGGTAAAAAACCAAAAACCAAAATGCGCACTATTGTTTCTGGGCTGTACTACGGGTACAAACAACAAATAACATACACATATATGGTATGGCTGCGATCATCAAGAGCTGGAAAATGTATTTTGGGTTGTTCTTTGGTGATAGGTTATGGTAGTAACAAGAAGCACACAGCTAAATTTAAAAAAAAAATTCTTTTTTACTATTCTGGGCCAGTTTTCCTTTGATAATAAAAAAAAATCAGGAGATATCCATTACCATTTAGCACCAATTGAAAGCCCAATTTGTCCTGAAAAAAAGGCGGTATAATTCACCTGGATGTAAAAAGTAGTTGTCATGATATGTACGGATTTACTAACACATGTCAACGTTGCAAAATTGTGCTTAGGCATTAAGATTTGTTTTACCCTTAGGTGTGAAGGGGTTAAAGGAGCAGGGGAAGGCCATGTCAGAACTTTATTTCAGTCCATGTCCCTGTTACGGATATTTTCTTTCTTGTCAGTTGATACCATTGTCACTGGAACGGGACGTGAGGGGAAATCTCTATAACGGAGCCTTCGTAGCAATAGCAACAGTTTAAATCCTTTCCCACACTATCCAAAACTAGAAAAAAAAAAGTTTTGTCTCGACTTGCACTTTAAATATATCAGGATGTGATCACCTGACCTCGCTCTAACTGCTATTTGCAAGAAAATTTTGGATGCTCTAGCAAAGCGTTCATTAGAAATACTGATTTTTTTTCCCCCTTGGGTGATTAATCTCCGGAGATTAATTGCATAAAATCCTATTTAATCGCCTTAGTGTTCTAATCTCATTTGATTTAATGCTAATACAATCAGACTCTTCTCATGTGTCTTTGTTATGTTTGCTCT